TGGCTGGCTGATTCCGCCGGATACTTTTTAGCTAGCTGGCTGGCTGACTCCGCCGGATACTTTGATAGGTGGCTGGCTGGCTGATTCCGCCAAGTACCCGGAACGCAGGGTCAATACAAATAACTTGTCCATGTGCGCGGCCCTTTTTGGGCCTTTCCCTACAACTTGTCCAAGCAGGTGTCATAGCGGTAGCGTGTGCGGGGCTGCACTGTAAGCCTTTTGAGCCAACCTAACTCCTTTCTGACTTTTTTGCGATGCTGTTGGTCACGGCCTTCGGTCACTTTGTTGCTTTTTGATGGGTTTTTGCCATAACTGTTCGACTGCCTGCAAGAAGGCTTTTCTGCCGGGTTCTGGCGCGTGTTCGCCGCTGCTTCCGGACTTGCGGCCCTGTTACTGATGTCCCCCATATTGAGCCCGTTGAGCTCTGCCTCCGTTAAGTCCATGGTGTCCTGCGAGCCCTCTTCGAGCAGTTCAAGAGCTTTTGGAATGCCAGGCCTCCTCGTCTGCACTGTCAGCCTATGACAAATGCCCCCCATCGCTGACTCGGCCAAGTCCTCGGAGATGGTACCCGAAGGCCATCCAAGAACACCGTGAGCAAGCAGCTCAACACCCGTGCTCGGACCGGAATCCGAAAGCACCACCGGCACGCAAAAAGCCAAACAAGTCCCACCTCTCCCTGTTTGCATGGCCAACCACAGGCCTTGAGCCAAAATGGCACATTGCAGGATCCCTCCCTACAACCCCTTGAAGCTCATGAGGTTGTTACATACACAAGACACGCTACTACCTACAGGTGACCCCAAAACCCAATTCCACGGTAGAAAGGGAACCTGCTTTGTTTTAAACATGGGATCATTATATATATAATTGATATATTATATGCATAATGCATGACATATGTACATATATATATATAAATTACATAAATTGCAAAATTTACACATGACAAGTGGTTTTGGTTATATATTATATATGTATATATGCAGCACAGTAATTATATATAATATGTATTATTATGTATTAATATGTCAAATTATGTCAATATTTATTAATCCTTTTGCAGTTTTCAAGCAATCACATGTTCACAGTGAAGCTAAGTTGGTGTTGCTCTCTAGTTGGGAACCCCGCCCCAGATCCCTGTTTGTCTCATCTCAGAGCGCTTGCTTTGCAATGTATACAAAGTTCATTCTTCTTCTTGCACCGTTCAACATCGTATGATATTGGAATTGGATGTAAAGAGCAATGAACAAACTGTTGTCCACCAAGAAGGGTTAGCTCAGCATGTGACTGTGGTTGCATGAGGAGAAGTTCAGCGAATTGTATGCACTGGAAGCATTTTCTGTGCCCATCTGCCAATGCAGTTCAGTGCTACAGTCATGTGCATGCTTCCAGTAATCTTTAAGAGATCTTTCGAGACACCCCTAGACGACAGTCCTTGTCGGTGCAAATCAGCCCCAGGACTGCTAAGGCCAGGTGGCACAAGGTCAAGGGTACTACGCCCTCAGCATTCGGCGCGTTCGGAATTGGATTCCAACCCTCACACCCAAACTGGCCCAAACACTACCCTAGTGCTCCTGGCCGGCTCTCAGAAGCTAGACCCAGCATCCACCTGACCACCGAACCGAAACGCAGTTCAAGCCCTACTCCCACCATGTCGTCATTCTTTTTGGAAGGACGATGAGGGACGATCGGGATCGGCGCCCGCATTGTGCCCCCAACAGGGTTCTTGTCCGCGGTGTGGGCTTTGGCTGAAAACATAAAACTCTAACCGAAGAACACCAAGTCCAAGTCAACGCGTGTCCACATTCCTTTACACCGAATAGAACACGCAAACGGATGCGGATCCTAGTCTGCTATTGATGCAGGTGGCTGATACCCGCTCTCTTCCACCTTGGCCAAAATACACAAAGATTCGCCCTCACCTTTGAGGCTTCATTCGGAGAGTTTCGAGCACTACGTTCAATCGAATCCTTGAACGAACATGCCCAAACGCCCCCAAACGCTCCAAACAGCCGTTGCTTTGAGACCCCTCGCGGCCGCTCCAAAGGGATTCGGGTCCGATCCCGAGCTGCGCCCAGCGCATCAATTTTGTGATTTGGGAGCAGGTGGAGGTTCCAAACGGCGAATTCGTTTGGGTTGGAAACAATTCGTATAAATTAGGGGCTTGTGCTCACCCTGGCAAAGTGTATAGGACAATCTTTGGGTATCTTTGGGTTGCATCTGATATCCATGGCTGACCAAATCCTATCGACAACGCAAACCCACACTTCAGCACGTTTATGCACTGCAACAGGTTATGCACTGCATGCACACAGAAAGAACAGACCTGGCACCCTGGACACCTGTGCCCCGAGCCCAGGAGCGTAGAGCACTCTCTGCGCCGATGTGGTTACCACCGCGGACTTTGGGGAAAACCCACAAACTGGTTTGAGGCCTATAGTCGTTAACCCAGCCGGGTGTTTCCTGTGCTTCCAAGTTCAGTGACCAGGTTCACCACCTGTGCCCCCCAAAACAGCCACCCACCATCGACGAACGTCTCTGCAGTTCGAAGTGCCCACAACCCCAAGCGGATCTGCACTTGCTGCACGATGGGTCGCAACAGGAAGCCAATGAGGCAAGCCAATCCGGACCTCACCCCCAAAGAAGGTCCATCAGTGAACAGCAGTGCGAGTTCAAAGGGATGCGGATGCCAAAACATTATTGTTGAATTTGAATGGTCCGTTCTTGTGACATATATGTCGGCCAACTTCTATTGTTGGTTTCGGTTTTTTGTTTTCCGGACGAGAACGTTAAAAAAAGGGCAGGGCCGACTGCCGAGCAAGACTGCCGAGCACCAACAGATCCACGCGGCAACGACTTGCTTCTCACAACACCCAGTCGTTCTCTTCGGATGTGCGTTCTCTAAGGTTCACCTCACCCAGTCGCTTTTGCACATCCCACATCGTCCCGGGACGATGTGAACTCCATGAAGCAATCAAGCACTCGCCATATTCAAGCACCAATATAAATGGGACCCTGACCTTGCTTGGACTGACCTCAAGTAATCAACCATCTTGGGATCTTGACGAGGGGCCGGCGTACCTGTTCTAACAACATCTAATAACAACACAATGGTGTGCAGGAGGTGGACGTGGTATGACTTGTGTTGGCGATTTTGCAGGCCAAAATTAAAAGAATTGTTGAGGTGTTATATAACATTGAAAAACACATATTCCCCAACTAGTGTGGTAACTAGGGGTTCTTACGGCAGGGGTAAGGCCGGGTGTTTGATCCAGGTGCTCGCACCCCTGTCCGGCTATTTCACTGCTATCGGTGCATCTATTCACCTTGAAATCTTCGAAGTGCATTTCGACTCCGCAGGCTCGTAACATCTGGTGGGCCCGAGCAGGTGCTTTCCTCGGCTGCGCTCTTTGCGGTGCCATGCGCGTTTTCGGACTTGGTGGTCGAGGAAAACCTCGTGAGTGTATTTGGTCTCAAGTCGACTTGTCATGGCAGGTGCACGGGATCGGAGCGGTTGTACTTCAATGTGCAGATTTCGTGGCAGGCGCAGCACTTTGGACATGGCGGTGATCTTCGGCGCGCTCTGATTCCGAAGGTGCAGTGAATCGTGACCTTTGGACATTGAGTTCAAACAGAGGGAAGTAGTGAGCAAAGGCTACCTTTTGCTATCCGGTATCTCGATGTGGTCTTTGGAACCCTTGTGCTGCCAAACCCCTTTGGCAGGGCTGCGCGGTGTGCATCTCAATGTGCAAATTTTGTGGGAGACGAGGCTTTTTGTGAACCTGGAAGTGCAGATTTCATGGCAAGCGATGAGTTTGTGAACCTCGAAGTGCAGATTTCAACGTAGCGCTGTGTGAAGCCGGAAGTGCAGATCCACAAGCGAAGCATTTTGTGAACCTGGAAGTGCACATTTCGTGGCAGGCGGAACAATAGAACCTTGAAATGCAGATGTCGTGGCAGGCACAGCATCTGGTGAACCTTTGTGTTGGATATGGATATGGATGGATAGATAGATACATAGAGGCACCGATGTAAAAACAACTTCCATAGCGTGGAACTTGGGCTTCCCAAACAGGCCAAGCCACCAACGAGGGAAACAGGCTTCCCAACAGGCCAAACTGGAACACTGGTTTTATGATCTCCAACGAGGGAAGACTGGCAAAACCACTGCCGTAGACTGGTCACATATTAGGTACCTCCGCCACCGACTGCCGTCATGGACGCCTCGCCAAGGGCCATCCCATTTCGATGTAGTGCAAAGAATAGCCCGACCAACTGTAGCCATTCATAAAGCCGTTGAACAAGGGCATCAGGATGCAAATCACAAGGTAGCTCAAAGACCATCCGAGCTCTTCGTCCTGAAAGGTGGAAGGAAACTGTTACAAATGATGTGAGCATGTGTTAAGTGTTAGCTGAAAAAGATTGAACAAGTATAGCTGAGAAAGTATTGCCCACAGGTGGCAAGCATCATGAGGGCCCAAAACACCCCACACACTAACCGTCACTAACCCCCCATTAAACACGTCCTGCCAGGTCTCCCGCGGTTTTTCCTGTGGGAAACCAGTCCCCCCAAAAAGATTGAACTAAGGTTGTCCACTGAGTGGGTAGGTTAGACCCCCAGTGTTGTCCTCATTAGTTGATGTTGGAGGAAGCCGAGTTTGGAGGTTTGGAGAGGCAACGCTTCCTCCCCTGCATGAACATCATGCAGCCCGCCCACGGAATGAACATCATGAAGCCAATCTGGCCCAACTTTGCGTAAGGACCACGTGGTCCAGAGGTCTGACTCGTCAGGTCCCCACCTAGGCGAATCATCGATGTCGAACGGTCCTCATCATCAAATTCATCCAGGTCGTCAATGTCCAGGGTCTCCATCGCATCCAGTGACGGTTTGGTCAACAGTTTGGTTCTTGGTTGGCCGTTTTGTGTCCTGGATGCAAACCGGAGGAGCCTATCGTCCTATCGTATCTTATCGCCATATACATGTATCATATAATACACAATAAATATCATCAATGTCCAGATTTTCCCTCTCATCCAGCGGATGGAATCTCAAGGTTGATAAGAGTGATGTTCAACGGGTGTTCTGTTTCAGCGTTGCTGGGGCCTACATGAACGAGAGCAAAACTTCAAGAGTCTTGCGTTCCAACATCTTACAAAGCATTTGGATGAGTTTGTTCTCAGAATAGACCGGCATCGATCAGAGGTCGGGGAACAAAAATAGCCAATTACATCAATTAGCCATGCTGCCGAGTGGGTTGACCGCTTGAACCGAACGCTCGGTCACGTGCACATCCTACAAAGGGTAAATGGACAGTCAGTCGTCTTCATGCCTTGCTTGGATTCGAGGTGGTGCTGCGTGCTTCTCACGAACGTCGGGACAAAAAGGCTGGTTCATGTTGAGTGCAAAACTATGAATACACATGGACACGCACGAGCACACACCCTGGTCACCACGGCCAAATCACCTTGTTTTTGCTAGCTACCAAAAACTCGTCAGCCAAGTGTTCAGCAATTTGCTGAACGAAAGTGGGCAATATCCGCCAGCTACCAATCACTCGTCCAAGCAGCCAAGTGTTCAGCAATTTGCTGAACGAAAGTGAGCAGCTTGTGAAAAAGAAGGCAGCAAAAAGATGCAAAAAGTGTCCAAACACCCTTGATGTTTGGGTGCCACGCACCAAGAACATGTGAAAACGTGAGAACCCGCTGGTTCACCAGATGTGATGCTCCCTCACCAGATGTGATGCTCCCAGCTGTCTGCTGCAAAAGGCCTGCTGTGCAGCCCCATATGCCATATGCTGACTTCCTGCTGTGACTCTTCAGCATGGGGGAAGAGAGGGGGCGGGGTCAACTGCGGCTGCCCTGTCCGTACGTGGAACTGCTTCAGTTCTTCCTCGTTGCTTCGGATCTCACAAGGCATGACCCAACTGGAGGCCACCCTGATAACCACTTGTTTGAAAAAACGCACGCCGTGTATTCCATTAGCGGTTCTGAATTTGGACACACAAAAGATCACAAGTTTGTGTACACATGCCAGGTCCTTAGGGGGGGAGTAAGTAACGAATCTTGACCGCTCCTTAACTTATCCCAAGCTCTTGTGCCCTCTTGTCACGAGTAGGCCAAACGAAGAACATCTGGCTGTGATTCCCCCTGCAGCACGCAGCTGTGGTGCATGCCCAGTGGCCTAGTGCAGTACCATCTTTCAGGTCGCTTCTTCCGGTACCTGAGCTGCCGAAACAACTCCTCCATGGGGTGTTCCACCGTGCGCCATGTGACCGTTGGAGTGTTCATGATCCCATTTGTTTGCCAAGACGAGGTCAAAGTCAAAGCTCAGAATTAACGTGAATTAACGCACACTCCATGGGACTGCAGTATACGCCTACAGAAGGGCCCCTTTTGAACCTCAACTGATTGGTATATAAATACTCAAGTTTCCATGCATCTCCCTGACTGCAACACCCGACTGACTAAAAGTCTTGGTGTTCCAAACAACATTCTGACTTGCTTGGAAACGTCACCCCAACTTCATGTTTTCGAGCTGCATGCATGTCTGTGCATATGCCCAGGCCTCGGAAACCAGGCCTCCCCCGGAAAAAAAGAGCAAGAACACTCTGACGAACAAATCACCTGGAAGTCCTGGAAGTGGACACCACATCAACCACCCTGGGCCATGCAAGGACCATCGTCATCCGATTGGGTCCATGCCACTTCCATGTGATGCGTTGGAGGAGGCCCGCCCCTCCCAGATCCGCCATCCCATCACCGAGACTGAGCTTCTGCATGGCTCTTCCGGCTGACCACGCTCCACTGGCTCACGCGTCGCAAGCCCAAGCGCCGCGAACGCTGCGCCTCAGCCACCTCGACATCCGGTGGGAAGCCCAAGCGCTGGCAAAAGCCTGAGGTGAAGAGGATGAAGGTCACCTGAGTCACTCGAACAGTCGAACAGGAAAGCGGTCCAAATGAGTATAAAACTGGTATATCTTGGGGGGTCACTCACCCTCAGCCACCTCTGCCAGGCAGGAACTTCGGGACCCAGGTGACGGTGAACTCGCTCCACTTTTGATGTAATACGATTTCAGGGTGTTTATTCATCAGGCTCAGCAATCAAGAGCCACACAAGGTTTGGTGCCGTTTTTCCCAAGAGGAAACACCCGACTCGCCGACTGCTGTCCTTTCGGCCAGTGGGATCGATAATTGTTTGGCTTTTCTGGGATGATGATCCATACAAACATGGGGGCCCTAATTACCCCCTAAGTCCCTCTCGAACAATTTGCATCGTCTACTAGCTGCTAGCTGGAATCCCTGCAAATGATCTTGCTGCCGGAACTTGTGCCGCATATGACATTAGACATAGCGTGCTCAATGGCTTTTGTGAAGCAACGCGCTCTTCTCAGGCCATGGAGGAGCGGTAAAAACGGAACGTGTCAACCGTTTCGGTGGTCCAGCCCAAGACTCGCATCATCCAGTTACAGTACAATATTATGTAACATATAAATGTAAAACAATAAACAACAATATATATAGAGAGAGAGTGAGAGAGAATGCTATGGATATATAGAAATAGACATATATATGAAATAACCGGGTTTGCAGCTGGAGGGTGCCAGCGGTGGTGGAGGGTTTTATGGTGGATAATACATCAGTTGTGTCAGGATCACTTAATGATCTGTTCCAATGGTCAAATGTACAAAAGGGCTGTACTTTTATCAAAACTCGGGTCTGACCTACTTCTGCAGGCCAAATAGGTCTCAGGTATTATACAATTCAACAAACTAGCAGACCAGGACCAGATCCGTCTATCAACACACAGCAGCTCACCTGTCTTGTCATCAAGTCATCATCTTTGTCCAGTACGTGCCACGTCGACTGGATGAGGACGCGAACCGAACGGGGCGAGCCAGAACGGACGCACAGAGCCACGGAGCGGCTTCGGATGTTCCGAGTCACCAGCGAAAGGGTCGCGCTCACGAAGAATGGGAAGAAGGGCGAGACCGTTTCAAAGAGGAAGGGGCCCAGGAAGCTAGCTGTACAGCCTCCAAGAGCTTCCAAATTCTTGCACCAAACCTGGCGATCTGGTAGATCTCCCAATGGTGGAGCTGCAGTTGCTGTTGACAACTGAATTCATTGGTCCATTGATCTTCAAACACGAACGAGGGTCCAGGGATGTAAAGTCAAGAGCGAGCCAGAAACGAGAAGCGAGTCAGAGTCTCAGTCCAGGAAGAAACGGAGCCTCGAGGTCAAGACATCGAGCAAGAAGAATCTGTTTTTTTGGTTTCTCGGACTTACATCCTCCGATGCTGAACACGCACATCTACATATGTATATCGCACACACACACATATATATATATATATTATATACATGCCAGGAGTTTTCTCGAATGTATGTTTTTCGGGTTCACCTGAAAACATGTGCAGCTCAAAAAGACTTTTGACTCCAGTGTATGTGCCTTGACAAGCTGAGTGTGAGACGAGTTTTGAGATGAAAGATTGTTGAGACCAAATGCCAATCACAAGAAAATACAAATAATACACAGTTGGGGAACAATTTGCATCGCAATCTTGGATGGAGATCAACGCAGGGAGTCAGGGGATTGTTGGGATCATGCCCATATGAGGCGCCTAGTTCGCCTAGTTCGCTAGCTGCGCGTACCAGAGCAGTGGAAGAAAGTCTGTGCACTTCAGATTTAATCAGAACAATCGGGACACTTCCTGCAGAAAAAGGCAAGCCTGAGAGTTAGTGCGTTGAACATCTATTGTTTCGTTGGTATGTTCCAAGTCTAGCCTGTCAAGCTTGAACGTGTCACTGTGTGCGCATTTTGAGCAGTTTTATGTTGCTTCTCTCTTGGGAAGAGCTGAACAAAAACACAACGCGACGCAACGCTTGAAAACACAACGCAAAAGCAACAAAAACACAAGGCCAAAAGCAAAAAGACACAAAGACTTGAGCGAACAAAGACTGACTATTCACAACGCGGAAACCAGCGCAATACAATGCACCACCGGCGCAAGATGACGCCGAACCGGTGTCATCGGGGATGAAAAACTATAGAACAACTCAGTCAAGTTCACTCTTGTTTGATGCGTTTAACATGCTTGACCCTGTTTGGCATGGCTGGGCGCCAGGTCTAATGCCTTAGGTCTGTTGCTTCCCGACTGAGAAGGTCTTCGTTTGCTTACGAAGGACATACCCTGAACAGCTACCTTGGGCTTGGAAAAAACGGTTCCTCAACTAACAAGAACTGAAGTCGATGGGGGCCGAAGGAGATGTAGAGTTACTTTACATCATTCTTACCAAGTCAGTTCGCAAACCAGCACTTTTATTTATAATATATAGTAATCAAGAGTTTTGGATTTTCCGTCTTAGACCGAAAAGTTAAAAACGCCAAAAAAAAGCGTTCAGCCTCCCGCAGGTCTAGGTATACAAAAGGGAACACATGGAACCTCAGCGGTGATTTTTTGCGGAAAAATACCATGGGACATGGTTTGCAAATGGATTTTAATTAGAACAAGCAATCTTGCAAACACTTTGTGTAGCTCATCCCGGTTGACTATATAATCGTGATCAAAGATGAGGCGACAATTAAGGCGGCCACAGGGGTTCCTCAAATCTTTCCAGCTTGAACACCAAACAAACTAACGACTCTTCATCACACTCCCTCTACTTAAGAGACTTTATTTAGCGGAACAGTGTCCAAAGGCTACAAACTTGGCCTGTCCCACTTCCATGTTTGTGCGAGTGAAGTTAAACAATCCGACGCACCTGAAGGTTAAGGAACAGGGACTGATCACCAAGGGAGTAGAAGAGATTCAGGTCAGTTGTGAGCTTGGAGGTGTAGACATACACGGTCCCCATGATCACCTGCGCCGTCACTGCCAATGGCAACCAAGGGCTGGTCATGCCCAAGTTGCAAAGCATCCATATAAAGAGGAGGCAAGACAAGCTGTAGGGTTGCTTGGTCAAACGCCGCAGGATTCCCGCTTCTTCATCATCATCCGTAGCAGCACCCAGCACTTTCATCATGATAGCCGCTGTCAAGTCTCCTGCGGACTGGGCCAAACTGGCCCACAGGGCCGAGTTCCAGCCATGGTACTGTTTGAAAAACATGGCAAAGGTGCTAAACTCTAAGACGTAGCTGAGGTTGTTGTTCAAGCAGCACCTCATGTGGCACACTGACAAATTCAATGATCAATTCTGTGACCCATTCGGCGGGATGGGACCCAGGTTTCAGCACAGCCTCCCAAAAACTATGCTACGACAAATCATGGAACACCTCTTTACTCTAACCTTCCAGGATCATCAAAACAGTTGACCTGGGTGAGCGGTGCAAATCTTAGATTGAACAAAGGCATGATATGAAGGCTATTAAGTCAATGGTGGTCGTCCTTTGGTGGATTTGGGACGGGTTCTTCTCCAATTCCTTTTAGCGTATTCAGTGACTAACGGGAGTCTGGCAAACAAGGAGACGGTTTCGGATCACCTCGATGTTCGCCTGAATCCTTTTCCCGAGGCATTTCAGCCAACCAACGCCGTGCCAAGAACGTCCGCTTCAAGCCATGGGTACTGCTCCAAATCCATGAAAGGGAGAAAAACACCGCTGGGACGCGATGTCTGAAACGCCAGCTTTCTTGTTTTGGGCTCCTCTACTGTAAACGCACGCGCGAGCACAGGCTCTCCCCAGTGCAGGGCCGCATGCGGAAGTCGCATCGATAGGAATTCGGGTTTGGCACCACGCCACGCGGCGGGCACAGCTGTGTGTATCGGGGGTCTGGTGGGGGTCTGGTGGGGTGCGGGGGGGATGATGGTTTGCATCGTGATCAGATGCACAAGCATGATCAAGCATGCTTTGCAGTGCTGCATAAATAAATACTTTCTCTCTCTCTCTCTATATATATACACCTGGACCCTCCAAAGTACTTTAGAAAATGGGTCATGACCCCATAAAAAACAGGTACTTGTACCCATTTTCCGAGGTACTGTACTTTGAGACTCCAGGTATATACATCTATAACTGCGAGCATTCCACACTGCTTTGACTTGTCATTTCCAAGAGACCATGGAGCAACAAACCGGCTGTTCGTAGCCTTTCGATTTCCGATTGATGGGACAAAGAAACCATGTTGATGTTGACGACTTGTAAACAAGAACAGTTTTAGTTCCTTCGTTTGCTCTCAGGAGGCGCAAGCCATGCGCTCCTTGACCACAGTTTTGTCTCCCTGACTGCCAATGTCGTGATTTCACACATGCAAATTGGATCGTGATGATCCTGATCGGATTGTTTGTTGCAACTCCAAGATATGAGGTTTTCCAAAGTAGGTCACCTGGGTTGCTCGGAAAATGGTATATACCATTTTATATGTTTCGATCTTTTTCGCACTTGGACCCTCATGGTTGCCCGGGACTCCGGTTGCCCGGGGGTTGTTTCACTTCCTGACCACGGCAGCCTGGCTCAAAGAATGAAGGTATTTCACCCAAAAGGGGGTTTACCCATTGGGAGATGAAAATGACCCCAAGCCAGGCCCTGTTGTTCAATTACTGTAGCCGGTCAGGTTGTTCACCTTACAGCACATGGATTTCGGTAGTGTATCCACAGGCCGAGGCACATCACAGTCAATAGTGCAGGAATTCGCAAATCCTTCGGGATGCCTTTGGTCTTGGTCTTCGTCGCATCCTCATCTCCAGCCTCATCTTCGCCTCACTGGTTTAAGCGCCCAAGTGGAAAGGAAAACGGTTTCCAAAACTCATGCCACTCTCCCCAAAATTCACAAACCCTTCCCCAAAAACCGGCTTCGGTGCGCTTATATATAATATGTATATATATATATACATCGTGAAAAGCTTTCATAAGAAATCATATGAAATCTTACGAAATAACAACTTAAAAGCAATGAAGACGTCCAGACGAGCCTCCGGCTCGTGCCAGAACCGTGGGTCGAAGAGCATTGTTGGCCAGAAAGGTATGCTCCAAGTTCTCCGAATCTTTCAAGTTGGTCACACCTGTGACCTTTGACAGGAAGGTGCCTCAGGAAGGTCGGTCAAAGGACTCAGACGAAGCTCAGAGACTCTCTCTCTCTCTCTCAGCTTTGTGCCTCGTGAAATTGAAATCATTGTATAAATTATGCGTTGCGTGTTCGCACCATGGTCGGGGTCTACGATAAAGGCTTAATTTTTCTGTGCAACTTGAAGGGGGTGCTGGGGTAGATCCTGAAAATGCTTCGAAAGCTCGAAGCATTTCCACAAAAGCGGCCCGCCCGCTGGCCTTTGCTGCCTTTGCTGCTCACGGTGTGAAAGCTCTTGTGGGAGCGAGCCTCGGTCCGCTTGGTGAGGCGCGATGCCTCTGAAGCCACCGAAGGACGCACATGGTCACGCCTCAGCGGCTCGATGGTTTTTTCACAAGCTGGGACCGGGATGGTCACACCTGGCCGGCCAAATCAGGTTCTATGAGTTCGGAGGTAGGTGTTATATCCGCCTGAGGCCGACTCACCTCAACAGTTGTGGCTTTCCTCTGATCACATATGATAACATCACGTGGAAGTGGATGGCATGGCTCCTGGGAAGAGCATGCCATCCTCTGCAACAACTTGTTTTGCACTAGATAGGCCGAGGGGCGCCGACATGAGATATATAGCTTAGTCTCGAACAGGCCAAACATGCTCTTCAGTCTCCCGTCCCTCATGATTGATACAGTTGTACAACTATAGTTGTACAATGTTGTCCTGCTCCATCCATGCTTTGGCACTTGCATTTTCATGCTTCTGAGAGGTCATTCCCCCCTGTCCACCGGGCCAAGGGGCGTCACGCTCCACTCCACTCTGCTTGCTCGCCCTTGGCCACTTCGGCGAGTGCTTCGGTGAGTGCTTCGGTGAGTGCTTCGCTGGGTCTTCTGGCTCACGGCACTCGCGGCACTTTGCCGCACACCGGCCGGGTGGACGACCTCGGCCTTCTGGCTCACGGTACTCGCGGCACTTTGCCGCACACCGGCCGGGTGGACGACCTCGGCCTTCTGGCTCACGGTACTCGCCTCGTCCACCGTCCCAGGGAGTTGCGGAATGGCCGCGACCTCTTCCACGACCAGGTCTTCGCCCTGCGAGGTGGGGGGAGGCGCCGTGGGAGTCGCGGGCACGACGGTGTGGAGCTCGGAGTCATCAGAGCCGTCCACCAGCGGGTCGGGCCGATGGAAGAACTCGCGGAAAGAGATGAAAGTTGAAGGTTGGGTAGCAAAGAGGAAGACCATCGAGGATTGGCACACCACATGAAACACGGACATGCCCTGCCAACCGGCCAAATCATAGATGAAACCACCGATTGTCACCCCTAAGGCACATGCGAAGGTGAAGACGGCTAACCTGAGCAGTGCTTGACAGGTGCACAGTTGGTGTCAAACTCACTCGGTCCTACCTGCATACTCCCGTGCATACTGGGCACCTAACTTGTTACACGCGTGCACGCCAAATACCAACTAAAAACAGTTTGTTGTGCACCCGGGATCTTCAAACTAATAACAAGTTTGTTTTTTGAAAAGGCACTTGCCTGTGCCGTTTCGAAGATCTGGGTCCGGGTACTGTATATAAATAAACAATATATATATATATGTATATTGTGCCAGAAACAACTACGGCCCAAAAGCGACATGGAGCTGAGCAATGGAAGACCTTCAGGCTTGAGGCAAACACCACTTGGTAATTAACGTCGCAGCAAACATGATCCAAACACCACCTGCGGGCGCGGAAGAGCATCCCAAAAATGCATGGAACCTCCTATTCCTCTCCACGCCTCGAAGCTGGATCACACACAATTACACAATTTAGGCCTCGCAGCTCACTGGGAACACATGGAAGCAGTTGCGAAGCAACTCTCTTCATGATCGACCAGTCAGTCACGGAATTTGCAAAGTGTCTGTTAAATTTTGTCATTCCGCACGCCCGCGGCCGGCCGCACCACATAATAGATAGATAGATAGATAGATAGATAGATAGATAGATAGGTTACGAGTATATTTACATTATATTGTATTTTATTGTATGCTACTACATTATATTACTTTAAATTACACTATATTTTGGGTGTGTTCAAAAGGCCTGTGGGTCGGAGCCCAAAACCATGCACAAGGCCATGGTAAAGAAAATTCTTATTTTCACAACTTCTTTTGCAACAGTCTAAGTTCTTTTAGAAAGATTCAACTTCTTTTGGAACAGGACAACAATGAGTCAAAAGTTATTTTTGAAACTTCTTTTGAAAAGAAACATGTTGCGAAACAACTTTTCTGAAACTTCTTCTCGACTCTAAGACTGATATATAATGTTTTCAAAAGCTTCCAAAAAGTTTTTTCTTGCTTCGTTTCGACCAGAAAGTTTCACAGAGCTGTTTCATGTTGTTTCCATACCTGAATATATGTTTTGTGTTTGCTATGCATCTAGGGTTTTGGCATTGAGAGCTCATGCTCATCCTGCAAAGGCACAACGGCTCAAACAGTTTAAGTTTGCATCTTCCTCAGGCCGTGGAAAAAACTAGAGCCAAAGCAAAGGCACAACTGCTCAAACAGTTTAAGGTTGCATCTTCCTCAGGCCGTGGAAGATATTAGAGCCAAAACCAAAGAACACAACTGCTCACACAGTTTTAAGGATATTTAAGGTTTTTAGAGCCTTCACCTCCTGCACCCCCTGCTGAACTTAGGCTATAACCTAAGTTCAGAAAATGTTTCCAACCCATATGTATGAGGTTCGTTGATGGAGGTTTTTCTTGAAAAAAACCTCAATCATCTTCCTTAGGGTTCTTCCCCTAAACCCCTCGCCGGCCGCCCCGCGCGGGGCCGCCTTGGTGGAGAGCTTCGCAAGCCTCCCCACCGGGGGAGGCCCAGAGCATCTGTTGGAAGGGGGCGTGCTGAATTTATTGAGCCTTTCTGGTTGACAATGCAATTGAAAATGGCTGTGACATTGGTTCATGAAGTGGCCCGACCAAATTCCCAAGATTGATACATGGCCTGAACCTGCATGAGCACCCACTCCAGCTCCAGAAGTGTTGGGCCTGGGTACTGCACGGTAAAGGAGTAGCATAGAGCAAGTGGCAACAAATGCATCAAACGAGAAACAAAGTGCACCCAAAGCACTAACTATGTCAAGACTTCAGCGTTTTCCTTCTCACAGTTTGTTGGCAGTGTTTCATCACTGCTGCGCAGCCACATTGCCGCCATCCTCCGGAATCAAGTCCGGACGGTGCAGTTCAAAAGTGAAAACTGCATTTTCCTGTTCCAAGATGCAAAAACATTTGATGCGAACGAACCACTTCGGGTCATGGAAAACTTGCCCCTCCTTGACAATAAACACTAGTTCTTCACGTTCAACAACATCGTTGTTGGGGAAGTTGTACACAAAGTGGTTGTACGCCCACAGAAGCAGCGCGCTAATTCGCGTATCATCGCTTTCATTCACTAGTGTAAAAATGACGATGGCGCCACTCTCAAATTCCACTCTGTACTTGTAGCCATCATCTCACCTGTCTCTTGCCATGGAAGTCCTCCTTACCAAGGTCAAACTAGGCCAGTGCACGCGATGTTGAACAATGTCACGTTTTCCAGGTGTTACAAGTTGTGGTACTGTGATAATTTGCAAGTCACGCCAAGAGTCCCATAACTGCGGGCCCGCTGCTTGACCGGCCATTGGAACCCATCTATCCAAGAGTTCTCTTTCTCCAAATTGAAGACACCCCCTAGAATGCTACGAGCCTTCAATCAACAAGTTTGTATCAAAAGCCAGAGTTTTTTTAAGCAACAACTGCCGATAATTGTGTTTGGAAATGTTTGGAACATAAGTTTGGTGAGTTTCATTCTCTCTCAAACCTCTTTCTTTTTCAGAGCTCAGCTCAATGCAAAGCACGGCAAAAAACGTTTGGTCCAGGTAGGCCAAACCACCAACAGGGGCATCGCTCAAGAGGCGCGGATTTCAGAGCTGTCGAACGGGGATAATGATGGTTTTTAGAGGTGCATTCAGCTCAATTCAAAGAGAAACAAGTCAGATCTTGAATGTAATGTGAAAAAAATTGCAACGTTTTCCCCACCCCCTTCCTTTGCAGCTATCCATGTTACGGTTGAAAAACAAACATCAATTGTTCTCATGTGCCTCAACTGTCTGATCGACTGCCATCGCTTCTTCCCCCTCACCTTCTCCACCACCGCTATACGGTTTATCAGTAGTGTTGTCCTTTGCGTCGGAGGCTGGCTCTGTTGCCTCCTTGGCCGTGTCACGGCCCCCAGCCTTCTCCTTGGCGACGGCGGTCATGGATTCCTGGGACAATGGACAAGAAACGCCACTCAGGACTCAGGAATGTTCAGAAAGCACTTCAAATGAATTTGAACACAATGAAGCTCAACTAGACCGGTTTCAACATTTTTTGGGACTTGCACGCAAGGCACCTGAAGTGTTTTGGCCGCTGTGATATCACCCTTGGTTCGCACCAGCTCATCCCGAACTGCCACCTTGGACACGGGCGAGGGACAAAGACATGTTGGTTGCCATAGTGTGTATGGTTCAAGCTCATGATTGGCACGACTCAAGGTTTGAATGTATGTTCCTGATATCACATTTTAAAAAGACACAACACGACAGTGAAGAGCCAAGCGACAGCGATGTTGTTGAGATCCTCCTCTGAAATGTCTGGATCCGGCTTCACCTGCAGTGGCTCTCAAAGCAAAACAGCATGAACCATGAACAGTCCCCATGTCCCCTCACGACAGCAGCACTCTCACTTTCTTTATGCAACTTAGACACCCTAATGACTTCCTTTCCAAAAAGTTTAATGGTGTAGCCGTTCTTGTAGCGAGACTTGGAAGCGCTAACGTGGTCGGGGTCCTTTGCACGGCCGGCCGGGCGCTTGATGACCAGCTTCGATGGTGACACCGTTGTCCCGGCAGAGGCCGGCGCAGCTGCACTGGGTCTCTTGAGAACAGCTTTGGCGGAAGGCTCTGGCTCTGAAGGCTTCGTGGTCTTCACCTTTGGAGACCCCTTGGCCTTTGGTTTTCCTTTCGCTTTTGGAAGCTTTTTGGTTGGGCTAGCTGAAGGTTTCGGGGAGTTACCCGTAGGTCGATCTTTCGGCCCATTTTCTCCACTATCATCAGACAGTTTGTCGATGTCTTCCAGAACCATGGCCCACTCGTGTGCACAGGGTTGGGTGCCCACACTGTTCGACTTGATTTCAAAAGGAGCGCAACGCCAAAAACCATCCATCCAGATTGAACATGATTGAACCTTTCTTTGCACCAACCCTGTAACCCCAACGTTCGGTCATCCCTTGAAGCTAGCAACACAGCATGAAGAGTGCAACTGAAGCTTGCATGAAGATTGCACTCAGCTGGGCGTGCAGGTGTTTGCCACTGAAGTCGGCTCCGATCTCTGCTGTGGGGCAACCCAGGCAAGAACGTGTAGCCCTACTGCCCCATCTAGAATCCACAACAAGGTTGAAAATACTTGGCTATGAGACTGTTTGAGAACATGTTTCATCCTGCAGGGCAGCCTACGAGGCGCCACAACCCCCCTTTGCCTGCTGGTCGCCGCGTCGCACAACACCCCAAAACACTGCTTCAGTAGGACAGCTGTTTTGGCTTTAACAGTTGTCACACTCATCCAAACATATTTAGGTTTCACTGGGCTGATCACTTTCTCCTGCCAGGCAGGGAGGGCAAATCCCAGCTCCATGAAACTAATGGAAGGCAAGTGAAAATTGGACTTTGATTTCTTATATGCCACAACTGGCACATATGCAGCATCATGCAACCCCGAATGTTTGCTTCCCGACGTGTACCTCCCAAACAACAACAAGGTTGGGGGAATTGGGCAGCTTGTTGTAGTCCGTAAAGCATCTTCCAAACTGCGAGTAGCGGACGTTGAGCAAATCACCATCCACGGTCTTTGGACGGACGAAATGCGTTGACCTTACTCTTTGGAGATACCTTGAAGCGAAACTGCCTTTGGACTCGGCCTGAATCTGTGTCCTGTCAGGGGGCCAGGGGTTTGGATCACCCGGAAAAAGTATGAACAAGTATTGCAGCATATTACCAGAATAGTTTCCATCCCAATCCTTGAACATAGGTTCTAAATCGTGATCCATTGAAACTTCTGTTACACCACGGGTTCGGGTAACGTTGCAGAGAACGTCAGCCACCGTCATCGGCTGTTTTTGAACTTCTCCACCACCCCGTTGGGTCACCAGAATCACAGTCTGAAGGTCCGATTGTCAGTCGTGGTGCGGGTGATGGGATTGTATTAGTGTGACCCTTCAAGTCCTGCTGTGATTTCGCTGAATGATCCAGCGTTCAAGCCGCACAGCTCCCGTGAACTGATCTCTGCATTCTCAT